TGAAAGTCTTTGCGCGAAGAGACCCCGCCCCATTTTGGAGGTTCTGCCCACTTTTGGCTTTCACGCCCCATTTTGGAGATCTCCGGTCTGCAGTTATACCTACTTGGATTAGGCGGGTTTTGTTATGAAAACCTGGCAACCCTGGTCACGCTTATTGACAGTGTAAGATGATTTACGATTAGCTGTGTCAGAAATCCAACCACGGATTGGCATGTTGTTATCTCAGAAACATTGAAACCATCACATTGAATCAGGTAAACTGGTTATATATTTATGCTTCAGTATAATTACGCACGCTATACCAGGCTACTCTTTCTTCACAAAAAGAGTATATAGTTTTAGGGCATAATATAAATAGGCGAATTGGGACGCAGCAATGATTTAATATATGCTTGTTGTTGGGTTAATTTAAATAGTTTAATAAAGCATGTTGACGTTTTTTTCTTTCTTTTCTTTTTATTTATTAATTGAAAAAAAAATTAACAGGTTGCATTAGTGAAAATGAAAATACTGTTGCTTTTATCTGGCCCAGGGTGCCAAAACTGAGAAGTAGGCTACAGTGGATTGTACTGTTGTTTAACAACATACCGATTGTTCAGCTGACGAAACATCTTCTTCCCGAAATTAACTTTCAGCAGACAAAAACTCTCTGAAAGTTGTGAGTTGTGAAAATTACGTGATGTAAGATCTTTATTTAGTGCGTGTCATTGTAAAGACTGTAAGTCCGCCCCACAGCGTTATATAAGGTCTATTAGCCACAAATACAAATTCGCTGAAATGTCAACTAGTATTTATCACGAGGTCGTGTTGTTCTGTTATTACTGTTATTGCTCTGTTATTACTGTTATTGCTCTGTTCGTGGCGCCACCGTGCGGCAGCTCAGTGAACGGCAGCGTCTCGCTCTCTGACGTCATCTCCACGCGCAGGAACGTCTTCACGTGTGTTTCCAAACCTCTCCGGTGTTTTCATCTCACGGAGCGACTGCTTTCTTCGATTAAATAGCGGCGTTTTGCTCAACAACACAGTTCGTAGAGCTCTCGGGTCTGTAGAAGTGAACACGATGGCGCAGAGGAAGAAGAAACTGATGAAGAGGAAGAAGAGCTCGACACGCAGAGATCACGAGCTCCAGTCTGACGATGAAGAGTTTGAAGTTGCTGCAGCAATCAAAGATGACCAGGACACAGTGAGTCACAATAATCATTAAACATGTTTGCTCTTTATTATCGGTTCACTTTCCTTCAATCAGAGACTGTTTGTGTCCCTCAACGTGAAAACATGAACATCTGATGACAGTTTTACTATAACAGCAGATGTCAGTATGTTACCACAAATACCGCGCCCGTCATATTTTCCCAGTTTTTAAAGTATGATTTCAATTTAAACCCTATTACCCTGACTTTAAAATAGTAAACAGCTGAAAAGAGAATGTTTGTATGAATGTTCTTTGTTTTAGTTTGACGAGCTGTGAGACAGGTGCACCTTTTACAATCAATTTTCCTTTACAAATGTATAATTATAAAGTGTAAAATTATAATTATAAAGAGATATAACCCTTTAAAAAAACTGTTACACATTTCATGTTTGGGTCATTTTGGACTCTGGTGTGTATGGAGTACCATTAGGTGTCAAATATACGTTATGTGAAATTATCTATGAAGTTATATTAGTGTCAGAAAACTTTTGTAAAATATGTTTAGCCTTTTCCCCATATCTTACAATATTTGGATTGCATTTTGTTGAAAAACATGAAATGTATGTTTGTTGAAAAAAAAAAGATAAATTTTTCAACTGAAAGTTTATGCAAGTAAATTCATTTGTTTTGTTTGAAACCTTTTTTCAGAGTAATAGTTGTTGTTTTGTCAGAAATTAATATGTAGGTTTCACAAATTTTGACTGTTTTTGAGCAATCATGAGTTAAGTTAAAAGGACTTTAATTAGATTTCATTCATTCCAGTGGGGTTAATACTGATATAATCTCAGATTATATAATATGAGACATATATAGTATTATAGTTTTGGTTAATGTGCAATTTAAAATTTCAAATAATTTCTCAATTCTTTAATAAAAAAGGATAAACACAGTAATAACATAGTAATAACATGGTAACATCGAAAACGTTGATTTTTTTCACATTCACTCATTAATGAAAAGTTGCTGATTAGATACAATATGGTGTTATGTTAAAATGTTGAGTTATGACTATACTTAAAATAACGATTTTTCTGCTCCAAATGGACTGGGAATGTGAAAATAGCATACAGATTTTGAATGTATTACAAGCTTACAATATTTGGATTGAATTTTGTTGAAAAACATGAAATGTATGTTTGTTGGAAAAAAAAGAGATAACTTTTTCAACTGAACGTTTATGCAAGTAAATTCATTTGTTTTGTTTGAAACCTTTTTTCAGAGTAATAGTTGTTGTTTTGTCAGAAATTAATATGTAGGTTTCACAAATTTTGACTGTTTTTGAGCAATCATGAGTTGGACTCTGGTGTGTATGGAGTACCATTAGGTGTCAAATATACGTTATGTGAAATTATCTATGAAGTTATATTAGTGTCAGAAAACTTTTGTAAAATATGTTTAGCCTTTTCCCCATATCTTACAATATTTGGATTGCATTTTGTTGAAAAACATGAAATGTATGTTTGTTGAAAAAAAAAAGATAAATTTTTCAACTGAAAGTTTATGCAAGTAAATTCATTTGTTTTGTTTGAAACCTTTTTTCAGAGTAATAGTTGTTGTTTTGTCAGAAATTAATATGTAGGTTTCACAAATTTTGACTGTTTTTGAGCAATCATGAGTTAAGTTAAAAGGACTTTAATTAGATTTCATTCATTCCAGTGGGGTTAATACTGATATAATCTCAGATTATATAATATGAGACATATATAGTATTATAGTTTTGGTTAATGTGCAATTTAAAATTTCAAATAATTTCTCAATTCTTTAATAAAAAAGGATAAACACAGTAATAACATAGTAATAACATGGTAACATCGAAAATGTTGATTTTTTTCACATTCACTCATTAATGAAAAGTTGCTGATTAGATACAATATGGTGTTATGTTAAAATGTTGAGTTATGACTATACTTAAAATAACGATTTTTCTGCTCCAAATGGACTGGGAATGTGAAAATAGCATACAGATTTTGAATGTATTACAAGGATTAAATATGTTTTTTATCCAATAGAATGTAAGTTACTACGGAAATGCAGTGTTGTCATGAATTACAGTCTGAACGTGATTTGTTTTCACATCACTGTGTTGTTGTCCAGTCCAGCAGAAGACTTCCTCGATTCCCTGCCTTGTCCGAGTGTGTTTCTGACGTGGAGCTCGACACCAGAGAGCTCATCAGAGCCCAGAACAAGAAGAAGAAGTCTGGAGGCTTTCAGTCCATGGGTGAGACGTTATATGTAAAACACTGTCATCAGTCGGTCAATCACAGGATCTCTGGCGCTCAGTCAATTTGCTCTGGTTTCACGCAGGTCTCAGTTATCCAGTGTATAAAGGCATCATGAAGAAGGGCTATAAAGTTCCTGCACCCATCCAGAGGAAGGTAATGTGCTGTGGTGATCAAAACACATGAATGGATTCTTTTCACATTTCCATATTTCTCAGAATCTGAAGTCATCATAGTTGGGTAAACTTGTATAGTTTGACTCTTGGTGGTTGTTTCAGTATGTTTAGTTTTACTGTTTGTCTTTACAAATGAGTGACAATTATAATTACACAATTTGTTTTCACATCACTGTGTTGTTGTCCAGTCCAGCAGAAGACTTCCTCGATTCCCTGCCTCGTCCGAGTGTGTTTCTGACGTGGAGCTCGACACCAGAGAGCTCATCAGAGCCCAGAACAAGAAGAAGAAGAAGTCTGGAGGCTTTCAGTCCATGGGTGAGACGTTATATGTAAAACACTGTCATCAGTCGGTCAATCACAGGATCTCTGGCGCTCAGTCAATTTGCTCTGGTTTCACGCAGGTCTCAGTTATCCAGTGTATAAAGGCATCATGAAGAAGGGCTATAAAGTTCCTGCACCCATCCAGAGGAAGGTAATGTGCTGTGGTGATCAAAACACATGAATGGATTCTTTTCACATTTCCATATTTCTCAGAATCTGAAGTCATCATAGTTGGGTAAACTTGTATAGTTTGACTCTTGGTGGTTGTTTCAGTATGTTTAGTTTTACTGTTTGTCTTTACAAATGAGTGACAATTATAATTACACAATTTACAACTTTGCAAAAAATCAGTGGAACCCCTCAATTGCAGAGAAAGACCTCTAATTTTGTATTCATTTTTGGAAAAAAGCATCTCTTAAAGACCTTTTGTCACACGAGATTATTCATGAAAAAAAACATAACTATTTTACAAGTTGGCCATTTTGTATGAATTGATTTGAGAAAATTGAGAAACAATTTTCACTCAGAAATTGCTAGAAAATTTTAAAAGCAATTATGACAAAAGCATATGAAGCACACTGAAATTATCGTTGTTTTATTTACAACTTTTTGGAGTTGTAAATAAAACAACGATAATTTCAGTGTGCTTCATATGAAAATGTTGTTGTAAATAAAACAACGATAATTTCAGTGTGCTTCATATGAAAATGTTGTCTTTATTTACTACTTCAAAATTTCACGTTTACTCAGTGCATTATTTGCCTTTTTGTCGTAATTGCTTTTAAAATTTTCTAGCAATTTCTGAGTGAAAATTGTCCCTATAGTGGTTGGTCTTTTTATAGTGTTGTGTTCTAAATGTTGATTACATTTAAAAAAAAAAAGAAAATATAGATATAGTTCTGCAACGTTAATAACTGTGGTAATGCATCCTGACAGTGAAAAGAGTCCATTGAGCCCCAAACAGCTGTTTGAAACACACTAACGTTTGAGATGAGCGTAGGGCTGCACGATTAATCGAAATTAAATCGCAAAGGCGATAAATCGCGATTAGGCAGAAGCTGCGATTGTCATGCGTATCTTTCAGTGAAGCACGGTTGGAAGTTGGGAGTAAAAACATGTTATTAAATGTGGTATCTTCACGTGCTTTCAGGTGGAGCAGCATTTACTACAGAGCCATAGTTCACTGACTAGCTACGCAAACAGCTGTCATTTTCGCGAATGATTTCTTCGATTTCATAATCGCGTGATTAAATCGTCTGCGATTATGAACGTGATTTTGCGTAGCTTGTTAGTGAACTACGGCTTTGTGTAGTAAACGCTGCTCCATCTGAAAGCACATGATGGAGATTTACTACTAATCACAGAACCGGCTTTACTGACAAGATGCGCATTACAATCACATTTGATTAATCGTGCAGCCCTAGATGAGCGTATGTAGGGTGAATCTGTCTCTCTGTTGTTCTCAGACTATCCCGGTGATTCTGGATGGGAAGGATGTGGTGGCCATGGCCCGGACGGGCAGCGGGAAGACAGCCGCCTGCCTCATCCCCATGTTTGAGAAGCTGAAGGCTCTGCAGGCGCAGACAGGGGCCCGGGCTCTGGTCCTCACGCCCACCCGAGAGCTCGCCCTGCAGACCATGAAGTTCACCAAAGAGGTCTGTGCTGTCACCGCTTTACTCATGCTCACCTGCAGGAGAGTTCATTCATTCACTCAGAGTGTTTGTGTGCTTTCAGCTGGGGAAGTTCACCGGCCTGAAAACGGCACTCATTCTCGGTGGAGACAGGTGAGCCAAGTCTCAATAATACGCTCATATCGCTCATATCTTATGTCTGAATTGTATCTGTGTTCTAAAAAGTGCTATAGCAATAAAGGTGACTTGATTCACTTGATTCATATTTCTGTGTGTGTGTCATTTCTGTTTGTCAGCATGGACGACCAGTTCAAGTCAAGTCTGCTTTATTGTCAATTCTTCCACATGTACAGCACATACACACAGAGAATTGAAATTGCGTTACTCTCAGACCCTTGGTGCATACAGATAACACTAACAGTAGAACATAAATACAGATAGATACAGATTAAATATAAAATACAACTATACAAATATACAATAAGGTAAAATGTAAAAAAAAATATATATATATATAAAAAAAA